AGGAAGGACAAGTCCCTGGAGAGGAACATCATGCTTGGCAAAGTGGAGGGTCAACGAAAAAGAGAAAGACCCCAACGAGAAGGTTTGACACAATGATAGCAACAATGAGCTCAAACCTAACAGTAATTATGTGAGGATGGTGCTAGACTGGACGCTGTTTCTTTGTGTTGTGCATAGCGGTTGTTAGGAGTCAGAACCTACTTGACGGCATCTAACAACCACAACAAATCTTAAGGGAACAGACAGCTTCATCCCTCTCCCGTGGAGTGGCTGGTAGGCTTGAACTGCCAAACTTGTGAATAGCAGCCCTCGCCTAACCCACAACACCACCAGGGCTCTGAGATCATTTTGAAGGTTATGTGATAGCTCGGATTACGTTGGGGCACCCTGGTATGCTGTTCTTGGCTGGACAGACACAGGATGAGCAAACCTGTCTCGGTCCTGTGTGGGGTGATGATCTGTGGGCACCGGGGCCTTGGACCCGTTCTCATCTCCTCTCTTCGCTGCTGGCTTTGGGAAGCCATGATCCCAAAGCTGGGTCCCCCCTGCTTTCAGCGCAGCGCAGTTGTTCTCTCTGCCACAGGGACCGTCCCCTTTACAGCCACACTGTCCACCCACTCACTCACCCTCCTCAGCATTCCTGTCCTTCCCCTTGGGCCAGGCTCCTGTTATAGGTCAGGAAGCTTATCCCGTTTGCAAAACATGGCCTGAGCCCACTTCACTTCCTGTTGGTCCTGCCCCTCAGGAAGTACTCCCAGGGTAATCTGTGGATTTCCTGGGTGGTCAGCCTCTGTGCTGGCAGCCAGGAGCACATAGGTCCTGGCAGGGGACCCCTTCCCTGAAGAGATTCCCTGTGCATTAGGGACACTTCAGAGTTACACACTCCCAAAGAAGCCACCGAGAACGCATGTTGTGAGTGTGACTCTCTGTAATGCCAAGAGGAGGAGAAGGTGGGGATGGGACCAGATGAGGAGGAAGACTCAGGGACACAGTGACTCTCAACAGTTGCTGAAAGGAAGGTAGTGACCTGCAGGGTAAGTTGGGGCTGAGTTTGTAGGAGACCTCCATGTCAGACTGGGCAGTCACACGCCCAAGGGAGTTGAGGCCTGTTTGAGAACAAGGAGGGGCCATAGCCAGAGTGTTCTCTGGGGGTGATTAACCTGTCGGCCACTTATGGGTGGGCACGAGAAGGGGGCTTGAACTGACTGGTTGGGGGAGAGTGGCAAAGTTAGAGTATTCATAGATCTTGTTATATTGTTTTTTTTTTCTCAGGGAGGCATTTACGATTCCCCTGATTCCTCTTGGCTTGAAGGAAACCAAAGATGTTGATTTTTCAGTCATTCTCAAGGTATATCTCTAAGCGACAGATGCTGGGCTGGGTTTTTAAAAGGGAAAGGGGAATTACGGATCCCTTGATTTCTAAAAGGTGACTCTGAGCCCTCGTGAAAGTCCCGTCTCCCCTGCCCAGAGAGCCCCTGTGCATTTTTCTCACCGGCTTGTTCATCTCTTTGGTGACTTCTGAAGGGTTGGAAATCCAGACCAGCCCTGTACCCCTGAAACACCTCCCTCCACCTTCCTCCCCACCCTTTAAGTACACCGGGTCAGAGGGTTTCTGTGTGGATGTTTTGGAATTTTAAAACTGTGTCCTGTTTCAGTATATTTTCTCTTAAATGTTGTAACCAATTTGGGCCATGTTTTGGGAAGAACAGTTAACATTTTACCTCCCAACATTTTATTACGTTAATTCCCCTGCTCCCCCCCACAAAAAAAGAAAGTTTACAGCGAAGCCCTGTATACCCACTACCTGGATTCTCCCATTAGCATTGTTGTTGTTGTTGTTAAGTGCCGTTGAGTCGGTTCTGACCCATAGCGACCCTGTACAGGGTTTCCGAGGGTGTAAATCTTTACAGGAGTAGAAAGCCTCATCTTTCTCCTGCGGAGCGGCTGGTAGTTTCGAACTGCTAACCTTAAGGTTCGCAGCCCGATTCGTAGGGGGTGATTTATTACATACCTGTCTGTCTGTCTGTGCATCCCATGCCCCTTTATCCATCTTTTTGGATGAGTTTCAAAGTAAGTTGCAGATGTTGGTTCACTAATGTTAAATAGTTTAATAACTAGAGTTTTAGGGGTTTTCCTCTAATTCTTTTTTTAATAACAGTGTAGTGAGTTATAGGCCACGTACCATTTAAAATGTACAGTGTTCAGCATCCTATTAACCAAGTGTAGATCTGGCAGACAGCCCTGGGCTCCTTTCATTGAAGCAGGACTTTGTGGGCCCACCTGGGCCTGGCACTGTGTTTGGTATTGGTGATGTCATGGGCCCTGCCTCTGGGGCTGTGGTTCTGTGGAGGGTGGGGATAGGTTCAGATCTGGTGAAAGGGACAGAAAGGAAGTGCTTTAAAGGATCAGGTACACGAGAGAGGGAGCGCCTCAGCC